AAATGTCAGAAATGAAAGAGGGACATGACAACCCATGCCACAGGAATAAAAAACATTGTAAAAGAATTCCAAGAGAAGGCGTATGCTGACATTTGGAGTAACCCACAAGAGATGAATGCACTTTTAGAAACACACAACCTACCAAGACTGAATCATGAAGTAGAAAATCTGAGCAGAGTAGGTGTGATGGCACACGTCTATAATCCGAGCAACTCAGGAGGCTGAGGCAGGATTCCAAGTTCAAGACTTGACTCAGCAACTTAGTGAGCCCCTAAGCAGCTGAGCAAGACCCTGTCTCAAAAAAATAAAAAGGACTGAGAATGAAGCTCAGTGGTAATGTGCTCCTGGGTTCCATCCCCAGTATTAAAAAGAAAAAATTTAAAAAGAAAAAATGTGAACACAGCAATAACTAGTAAGGAGATTGAATCAGTAACCAAAAACCTCAAAGAGAAACCCAGAACCAGATGGTGTCACTAGGAAATTCTACCAAACATTTAGATAATTAACTCAATTCTCCTAAAAATCTTCCAAAAAACTGAAGAGGACACCTCCAAGTTCATTCTATGAGGCCCATTTTGTCCGAATACCAAAGCCAAAAAAAAGACAAAGAAAACCACAGGCCAATCTCCCTAAAGAACACCGAGGCAAAAATCCCCAACAAAATACTGAATACAACAGCACATTAAAAGGAATATACAGGGCTGGGGATGTGGCTCAAGCGGTAGCGCACTCGCCTGGCATGCGTGCGGCCCAGGTTCCATCCTCAACACCACATACAAAGAAAGATGTTGTGTCCACCGAAAACTAAAAAATAAATATTAAAATTTCTCTCTCTCTCTCTTTTTTTTTTAAAAAAAGGAATATACATTGGGGTTGTAGCTTAGTGGTAGAGCACTTGCCTAGCATGTGTGAGTCACTGGGTTTGATCCTCAGCACCACATAAAAATAAAGGTACTTTAAAAAAAAAAAAAAAAAGAAAAGAAAAGGAATATACACCATGATCAAGTGGGATTTACTCCTGGAATGCAAGAATGGTTCAACATATGAAAAAGCAATCAGTGTAATACACTGGATTACCAGAAAGAAGGGCAAAACCAGGATCGACTCAGCTGAGCCAGAAAGAGCACACCCAGCAAGGCACAACACCCTTTCATGATAAACAAAACAAACCAGGAAAAGAAAACTACCTCAACATAATAAAGGCTTAATTCACACCCAATGGGGAAAGATTTCAATCTCCTATAAGGACAGGAACAAGGCAAGGATGCCTATTTTTGTCACTTCTACTCATCATAGGACTAAAAGTCCTAAACAGACCACCTAGGCAAGAAAGAAAGAAGAGGCATTCAAGGGCTGGGGTTGTGGCTCAGCGGTAGAGCAGCGCTTGCCTAGCACATGTAGGGCTCTGGGTTTGATCCTCAGCACAACATAAAAACAAGTAAATAAAATAAAGGCATTGTGTCCAACTACACCTAAAAAAAAAAAAAAAGGCATTCAAACTAACAAGAAAGTAAAATTACCTCTTTGCATGTCACATGGTCTTACATATAGAAACCCCTAAAGATTCCATTAAAAAAAAAAAAAAAAAACCCTGCTAGGACTAATAAATGAATTCAGTGAAGTAGGAGGACACAAAATCAACACAGAAATTATTTGCATTTCTATACCCTGACACTGAACAATCCTAAAAGGAAATAAGAAAAAACAATTCCATGTGCAAAAGCATCAAAAAGTTTGGGTGTGGCTCTCGCCTGTAATCAGAGCTATTCCACAGCTGAGGCCGGAGGATCCCAAGTTGGAGGCTAGCCCACAGCAACTCAGCAAGACCTGTCTCAAAAAGTAACAAGAGCTGTGGGTGTATTTCAGTGATAGAGCTCCCCCCTGGGTTCAATCCCCAGTTACTAGAGGAAATGAATTTAAAAAAAAATAAAAATAAATTTTAAAAAAGGTAAAATACTTAGGAATAAACTTCACCAAGGAGACAAAAGACTTACACAGTGAAAAGTACAAAACACTACTCCAGTCTTCACGGATTGGAAGACTTAATATTTTTACAATGACCATATCATCTAAAATGATCCACAGAGTCAACACAGCCCCTATCAAAATTCCAAAGGCATTTTTGCAGAAGTAGAAAAACTCATCCTAAAATTCATATGGAATCTCAAAGAACCCAAAGAGCAAGACAATATTGAAAAAGAAGAACAAAGTCTGAAGACTTATATTTCTTGATTTCAAAATATATTACAAAGCTACAGTAATCAAAAACAGTGTCAATGCCCTACAGACTAAACAATGGATGAAAACAGAGGCCAGAAGTAAATACTTTTGTATACAGTCAAACGATTATCAACCAAGGTGCCAAGATCATTTGATGGGGAAAGGACATCCTCTTCAATACACTGGATATCCACATGCAAAAGAATGAAGTTGGACCTTTATCTTATACCACATACACAAAAAATTAGTTCAAGCCCAGTGCAGTGACAAATATCTATAATCCCAGCTGCTCAGGAGGCTCAGGCAGGAGCATCACAAGTTTGAGGTCAGACTGGGTGGTTTTGTGAGACCCTGTCTCAAAAAAGAAAGGGGTTGGGGATACAGCTTAGTGGTAGAGCACCCCTAGGTTTTGGGGGTGGGGAGAGAGACAAATCAACAGTGAAAAGGCAAGGCAACCCACAGAATTGCATAACATATCTGCAAACCAAGTATCTGATAGAATAAATACTCAGAATATATAAGGAAATCCTACAACTCAAAAGCAAAACCACCAGGTTTGAAAATATGCAAAGGGTTGAATAGAAATTTCTCCAAAGATAGTATGAGGCACTAAGCAACTCAGTAAGACCCTGTCTCTAATTAAAATATAAAATAAGGCTGGGGATATGGCTCAGTGGTTGAGTGCCCCCGAGTTCAATTCCTGGTACACCCCCCAAAAAAATTGCCTTGGGCTATGTATATAAGGTGTCTGTAAAACATAAATGGGCTTTGTGTTTAGACTTGAGTCCTGTCCCCAAGATAGC